GTATGTATGGACATTCGACAACAGGGATTAGATACATGCTTGGTTGTTTAAATTGTTCTTCTATGCTTAATGGGTTCCTAATGCTTAGTTTTAGGTTAGACAACAAATGATCAAATTAGGGAATTAGGAACACAAGGTTAGGACCAAACACCATGGCTTAATCATACTTTAGCTAGAATCAATCCGTTAATCTAATTGAACTTGGGAACTTATTTGCTTGAGTTATTTCCTTTTTTCTTGTTTTATTTATTTTCTTTTTCATTTCTATTTTTTGTAGGGGAAATGAATTGGATCATTCAATCACCAATCCTCGTGGGATCGACCTCGCACTTACATATGCTATACTACCGAACGGCTCGTGCACTTGCGAGTATCATAAGTTGAGGATGCAGTTGAATCCATTTTGGTGCAGCTGAATCGACGCAACAAGAGTACAAATATATAATTGGTTCGTCAGAGTCTTAAATTGAAGTGCTTCAATTTAGGATTATCGATTGTTGAATCCTGGGAGATGGACGCCTATAAAACTGCGAGCACAGGCGAAATCTGTCTTTAGGACATTGCAATTCTTGCAAGCCTCAATCGCTAAAGTTGTCAGTATTTCTACTTGTGTTTGTTGATTTACATTAATTTCATGGAAATTTGTTATTATATTTGATTATTACAATTTTGTTGATAATTATTATTATCTTCAAATTCATATTTTCTATTATTCCGCCAACACTTTGAATTATACCCCAATCACTATCGTCCTTAAATTAGGGCCCTAATTGCATAGCATGTATTCTCAACACGTCATCTTCCCAATAGCGTGACTTACTTTTAATTGAATCATGTGCAAGTAATAGAAATCAGATTTAGCCCCATATATACCACCGCCAGCCACATACCCACATGTCCACCTATCCAGCCCCATACCCACATGTCCTCTCATGGATACCCGCCAAATCATCTAACGACCAAAAAAATTTGTGTTATCACTAGGGCTTGACTCGGTTTGGATTGGTTCGGTTTTAAGTCCAATTCAGACATCGAATCATAGGCTTCTATTTGGCTATTTTGGAAACCATATACCGAACTATAATCAGTGAAACTGGCCAACCCAGTTAATTGGAGTTGGTGGTTTGGTTTGATTCAATTGCAGGTTTAGGCCGAAGCAGAAGCAGAAGGGAGAGATGGAGATTGATAGAGAGAAGAAGAAGGAAAAAGAAACGAGAGAGAGAGAGAGAGAGAGAGAGAGAGAGAGAGAAGAAGAAGAAGAAGAAAAGAAGAAAGAAAGAGGGAGAGGTGAAGAAGAAGAAGGAAAAAAGAAAACAAAAGAGAAGAGAGAAGAAAGGGAGGAAAAAGAAGACAGAAAGAAGAGGGAGAAGAGAGAGAGAGAGAGAGAGAGTGTGTGTGTGTGTGTGTGTGTGTGTGTGTGTGTGTGTGTGTGTGTGTATTGGTAAGTGGGCCTTTTCATTAATTTGGAAAAGAGGCTACAGTATTAGTAAGTGGGCCAGAAAGCAGGATGATGTCCAAAATATCACGGGATTCGTCTCGTATAGGAATTCGGGGTGGGTCCTATCAGCCATGGGGTGAAGGAGATAATGGACTAGCTGCTATTTCCATGAAGAACAAGCTACTAGCTCAACTAAGTTTGGAAAAGAATGTTGAACATGGAGGTAGTGCTCATTTTCTAAATAGACCTAGGATTGCTTGAGCTTGTGATTACTTTTTCTGTAAGAACCTTCTTAACTTAGTGGACTGCTTGGTCGAAGTGATGACCCTCAGTTTTTCCCAATGGTGGGTTTGTGGGTAAACATTTCTAGTGTGATTCTCTAATTTATATGTCTAGTCATACTGTTTGTGTTATATCTGAAATGTTGGTGCATGTTCACACAGCTATCACTCTAGTTGTTGCTAGCACAGGGGATGCCTAGATTGACGGTTCCTTCTGAGTGCCTAGGTTGTCACGTAGTTATCTTCTAGGCTTGCAGGGATTTGAATATTTGATATGTTGTGCTATATATTATATGAGTCCCATTCTCTTGGACCCCGACATGTGGTCACTCACTCTTAGATCTAATCTAAGGGCTAAAAAAAACTAATTTAAAAAATCTATTTTGTTTTACTTTTTACTGACATATTAAATTAACTTAAACAAAAACCAAAAAGTCACTCATAGTAAAACATGTTCTCAGCACAAAGCCCAAAAATTTAAGAACGTGTTCATCTTCCTCCCACCGCTCGCCGCCACAGCACCCATCCCCAGTGGCGGACCCACAGAGGCGCAAGGAGGTGCAGTTGCACCTCCCCTCGCCGGAAAACACTGTGGTGGTGGCGCACTTTGCCCCTTTGGTTTGCCCACCAACTGTTTGTGTTTTTGCCTGAGTGAAACTCCATTCTATTTGATGAGCTGCTGTGCCTTTGTTTTTGTTGCGCTGCTGTGTTGTGCGCACAGCGCGTGCTCTTTTTTTTTTTTTTTTAAGTCCTAGCCCAAAACGACGTCGTTTTGGACTAGGCCAAAAAAAAAAAAAAAAAAAGAAAAAAAAGAAACGTGCCCAAGGCCTTACCCAATACGGAATCAGTATAGCATATTATATAGAAACCCTATTAATAAAGAGCGGAGAGGAGCAATTCAATTCAAAACTATAAGCTCTGTTTGTTGAAGTCTCTCTTGCGGCAATCAGATTCAGACCCAATCCTTTTGCAAGGTTTGGGATTTTTTTGCTAATGTTGTTGTTCTCTTCTATTTTTTCTTTCCTATGTTTTTTTTCCTCTCTTTTTCTTTTTTATAATATGTTTTTTTTTTTTCATATATATATATTTTCTGATTTGGCTGTCTTTGTATTTGTATAATCATTAGCAAACTCGAGAGAGAAGAGGTTGCGTAGTGCTCAACTTGAGGTATGATCAATTACAATTTGATTATCTAATTAATAAAGTAATATGCATTTTGTAATGTTATTTTTTTTTCCATGAATTATTAATGACGTTAGTACTCTTTAAATTTGAAGGATATTTGATTCGCTAAATTTTGTTGTTGTTGAACTTTTAGCCTTTTAAAATTGCCCCTTCCTTGTAAAATTCATGGATCCGCCACTGCCCATCCCCATACTTCTGATTTATCCGTGGAGAAATTTTTTTATTATTTTGATTTAGTTTGATTTGATCCA